CCTCACCAACTTCCTCTCAGGTCCCACTGGCAGGAGTGAGTCACATTTCCATGTCTTGGCTTTTGGGAGTCCAAGAGCAAATATCCAAGTGCTTTCAAACTCTGGGTGGGAGGAAAGGCTCTGTCCACAAGGAAGAAGGTGCAGAATGGCTGTTAGGTAAGCAGCTAAGGATGCATGTCACAGTTACCAGGAAGGAGTCCATGTCACTGACTGGTGACAGCTTCAGGAGTGACTGGGACATATAGCACTTTCTGTTCCTGTACAGAGAATCCCCAGGTGGATTCTTTTATTTCTGCTTTTATTTACTATTCTTGCCCCTTCCCTTGCACCAGACTGCTAGTTATCACTATTTGATGTCAAAGTGCCTTGTTCTCATCTTGCCATGGCTAAGATATGCTTTAGTCTTTTCTGGAAAAAAAAAAAGAAATCATATAATCAAATTTGTCAGAATGATGCCTGAAATGTGCTCAATGGCTGACAGGCTGCCCTGTGAGTCAGATGCATAACATGGTGTTTCTTTTGGTCTCTTGGGTCCTTTTTCCATTGTTGAGGTATTTGGAGAAATGAGGGGTTTTCTAGAGTTTTGCAAATTTGGATGCTGACTTTCCTGGCATTGTCTTATGGTGAAAGGATTTAGGGACAGATACGCTTGTTTTCTAGGGAGGGTGAGCTGCAGCTGCACACCTGAACCTCAACGGGGCTTAAGAGAGGCACACACTTTATCAGTGCATTGAAGTTTCTCTCAAAGCTGTGTGACTGGTTGTCACGTGGAAAGCACCACTAGCTCTGGGACTCTGTGTGACCAGTAGAACCTGTCGTTGCAGCAGCTGTCCAGAATGAGGCTAAATCATTCCTTCCTTTTCCCAGGGCTCTGTGGATAAGTCTGGAAACTAACTGCTCAGTTTGTGCAGAATTAGGTATGTTTGGTTTGACTGATTTCAACAAGTTTTTTAAATCTATTTATTTCTTTAATTAATTTATTTATTTTTTGCAGTATGTGTGGTTGAACCTAGGGCCTCCTGCATGCTAGACAAGTGCTGAGCTACCTTCCCCCAGCCGTTTCTATTTTGAGTCAGGGTCTCTCTAAGCTGCCCAGTCTGGCCTTGAACTTAACATCCTCCGGTAGCTGGGATTATAGGTGTGCACCACCACACTGGGCTTCAAGTTCTTGAAGAAAGAAGTTATTGAACAAGTGAGGACCATCCCGTATGTGGATAGAGAACTGACCAAAATTCATTGTCTGTGTAGGAAGGAGGAAAGAGGAAGCAGCTGTGGAGACAGTGGTGTCAATAAGTAACTGAATCAAAGGGAATGATTCTGCTCCAACCGTCAACTGAGCTAGCAGGTTCTGAGGAAGCTCGCTGTTAAAGTGTTGGAATTTGGGCAGGGGATATAGCTCAGCTGGTAGAGTGCTCGCTTCACATGCACAAGGCTTTGGGTTCAATCCCCAGCACCATCAAGAAAAAAAAAAAAAACATGTTGGAATTTGATATAGTGGATACTCTAAGCCCAGACTGCTTGGAAGCCAGCAGCTTCCCCTCGGAACAAACAAGCCATTTAAAGGCCTCAGGTCATTATTTTCCTAGGCATCAGAAAATCACAAGTTAACCTATAAGCAAAAGTGACAGAAACATTTGAGGGTAAGGAAGACAAGTTTTGGGGTTTTTCAATTCTTATGAATTCAAATCATTCTTAGAAGAAAAATGCAAAGAATTTCTCATAAATATTTTAGTTATTAACTCATGCACAAAACATTTTTAAAGAAGCCACCCTTTGGTTGACCATTAACTGATATAGATAGGATATAACTTAGTCTAGCAAGATGTTTGTATTTAAAAAATTTTATTTTCTCATACATGAACTAACAAACGTGGATTACTAGTTTTATCTCTGACAAGACTCTTTCTGTTCTAATAATCCAGTTACTGCATGCATAGAGAAAATATTCAAGTTTTATTTTTGGCTTCTACTACACTTTGTTAGACAAATCTCCATGGAGAAACGAAATATAATAACAAAATAACATTTAAATTTTAAAAACTGAAAATCAATGCTTTTGGGAGTTCATAGTCAGGAGATCTTGCTGGACTAGGTAAATAAATCGCATTCACATTTTGACTTGTTGCTGATACCAGCTGGGCATTTGGGTCAGAGAAAATGGTTCAGAAATAGGTGGAAAATGATTTCTCAGCATATCAAAATACTAATACCAGCAATTCATTTCTACAAAATAAAACAAGAACCAAAAAAGTCTGCCAGCCAGATAGGATGGTGTACGCCTGTATTCCCAGCTACTTGGAAGGCTGATGCAGGAGGATCACTTGAGACCAGAAGTTTGGGACCAGCCAGAGCAATTGAGCAAGATCTTGTCCCTTAAAATTTTTTTTTCAAGCCAGATGCAGTGGAGCACACCTGTAATTCTAGCAGCTTAATATGCTGAGATAGGAGGATTGCAAGTTCAAAGCCAGCCTCGGCAATGCAGAGACACTAAGCAACTCAGTGAGACTCTGTCTCTAGATAAAATACAAAATAGGGCTAGGGATGTGTGATCAAGTGTCCTTGACTTCAATCCCTGGTACCAGAAAAAAAATTTTTTTTTTTCAAGAGAGAATGCATTCCCAGGCCCCAAAAGTTAGTAGCTTGAGAATCTCACTGCCTATGATACTATCTACATTGTTCTTGATTTTGAGTAATGACTCTATTTAATTTAAATTTATTAATTATTGCCATTAGATTCTGTTATTTTAAATCATTGCTCTTTTGGATTTTTATTTGTTTGTTTTGGTACTGGAGATTGAACCCAGGGGTGCTTTAACCACTGAACTATGTTCCCAGCCCTTTTTTTTTTTTTTTTTTTTGAGACAGGCCCTTGCTGAGGACTCGCTAAGTTGGTGAGGCTGGCCTCAAAGCTTGTGATCCTCCTCAACCTCCAAATTGTTGGGGTTACAGGCAGGCGGATGCAGCTGCAAAACTTCTAAATCATTGCTTTTTTTATAGGCCAGCTTGAATGCTAAATGCTTTTATGTTATTAATGATAGCTTTGGAGGTTAATCTGAATCTCATTTTTCTTTGGGAATTTGTATGTAATATAATCACTACAGTTGAAGTCAAAGTAAAGTATATATGAAGGTATTTTTCTAAAATTAATCATAGGAAATTAAATGAATAATTAGAAAAGATATAAAACATTTAGAAAGCAATATTTGTTCAAAGTGATGAAGATGTTACAGGTCAAGCTTTGTAATATGAAAGGGTCCAAAGGGCTTTTTGAATTGAGTCACTTATCATTTCTATTAGACTTTTTCATATTTTGCTTTGTTCCTATGTGCTGTGAAATCTCTGCTTTGGCATGGACCGACATGTATTGAGACTGCCCTATTGTGACTCTTGAAAAATGTGACTAAAAAGTGGACATTCACAGTCCTGCCACTGTTGTTGGGTTGCAGCGTGATTCATCTGTAGAAACCCCCTGCAGTGCTGAGTCAGACGTCTTCAGGGTCAAGTGCACTCAGAGTTCTGAGAGACCCTACTAGCTGGATAGTTTTTTGTTTCTTGGGATTTTTTTGTTGGTTTTTCTTTTTTCTTTTTTTTAAATTTTGCTGTGAACCTAACTTCCTTTAAGAAATCATGTTGGGTGCTTAGAGGGCTTTGTCCAAGTTGAGTGTCACCCACGCTGGGGTGACAGATGCAGAACTGTCTAGTATGTACCTTTTCATATGCCTGCCTCAGGTAGCCAAAAGACCATCCACCTTCTTCACAGTGGAGACTTTTCTTACTGAATTGTAATTGTGACATAGTGAGTGTAAGCAGGTGATTCTCCTGTCCTTCAGAGCAGGAGGTGGCCTTGTCACATAGAAGGAACCTGGGATTTGAATCATGGTTCTGGATTTGACTCTTGTCCCTTCCTGCCTATGACATTGAGTCTCAAGTTTGCTCACCTATTAAATGTACATGGTCAAAATAATGTCTCTTTCACAAGGTTTTAAGTAACAAATTAGACAAAGTATGTAAAAAGTACTCTGTGAGGTTAGAAAACTCAATACAATTTTTTGTTGTTTATTTTCAGTGATGTGCCTGTTAACATTTCACACATTTACACATCATCCACCTTAAAGAATATGCTATAGAAACAATTAGTGTTTTTAATGGTAGTTTATCTCAACCGAAATTGGCACGCCATTTTATTTTTAAAAATTGAGTTAAAGAACCACAAAATGAAAAGAATAATATGTGTTAACAGTGAGGATTAGAATCCGCCATCCTGCACCAGCAGGCGTATGCAGTGCTTAGATTGGTCCCTGTTGTGTTCCATTAAGGAGCCCCCTCTGATTTAGGAGATATAAATAAATGTCATAACACATATGGAAAAAATGGAAACTGCTGAGTATCAAAAATCACTGCTTGATTGGAAGTAGCGTGATAACTTTATTTTTTCTGGTCTAGTTGCCATATATAGTTCCTACAAAAGATGATCACCTGCCCTCTTTATCCCTTTTCTACATCCATTCTGTCACAACAGCCTCTGTCCTACCTCCCCCACCAATTGACAGATGAGGAAGACCCTGCCTGGCCCTTGAAGAGCTGATGGTGTGGTAGAGACTTAGAACAGTTTCACAGCAGCCTCTGCAGTGAAAGAATGGACAAGGCAAAGGCCAGGGAGTTCAGGGGGCAGGGGGCCCGCTAGCCTCTACCTGGCCTCTGCCCAGCCTCTGCCTGGCCTCTACGCCATCTCATGTTGTTTCTGCAGCACCTGCGCCTCGAGCCCCATATTGCTTACACTTGCCCTCACATGGGACTCACCTCTTTCACTAGGTTTTGAACTTCTTAAAGTCAGGGAGGACACCTTGTATTTCTTGGTCCTCCCTCCACACATTTTATCTAAGCCTCAGCCAGAATTTGTGGTTCCAATAGTCTTGGACCCAACATTCTTGATTTAGCCAAAACAGTGTCATAAGATGTGTTTATATCTAACTTGCTTTTCCTCTCTTCTGTCTTTCCAGTTGACCTGCCTTTGTTTTTCCCTCGAGATCAGCCGACTCTGACATTTCAGTCAGTATATCACTTTACCAACAGTGGACAGCTTTACTCCCAGGCCCAGAAAAATTATCCTTACAGCCCCAGATGGGACGGAAATGAAATGGCCAAAAGAGCAAAGTAAGTGAATCCATTATTATTTACTACAGAGAGGAACATTTTGTTTATCGTATCCAGGGGTTGCAAAGCTACTAGCCACTGGCTAACTCCTACCCTGTGCTTATTTTTTTTTAATATATAAAGTCTTATTGAGATACAAAAAATGCCCTTTTTTTTTTTAACCTGTTGGCAGTGGCTGCATTCATGCCACGTGGCTGAGTAAACAGTTGGAACAGAGACCTGCAAAGTCAAAATTATTTACTATTCAGCCCTTTATAGAAAAAATTGGCCAATTCCCTTATCAGGAAAAAGCCATCCTTTGTCTGCAATATTTCCTTGCTCCACTGTTTCTCCTGGTCTCTAAAATTAGCCATACCTTTTTTCAAATGGGTTATAGGATCTATCAGAAATTAACCTATTTAGATTGGAGAAGAAGTACTAAACAAGAAGTAGGGTTGTGGGTAAATGGTGTCAATAATTCAGATGTTTACAGCCACTTTCATATTTTTTTGAAAAATGGAAAATTTTAGCTGACAGTAAACAAGTAAAATTATCGCTAGTGGTCAATTCATGAATGCAATAGCTACTTTTTTTATATAGAACTGAATCTCTCTGAATTATATATTTAATTGCATTTCTGCAGTGCATTTTACAGGCATTGCCCAAAGTGGGGCCTGCACATTTCTGAATAGAGTAAACAGATACAGAGATTCCTTAGACTTGTGGATGTCACTGTACAAGTAGCAGTTTGATGGAGGTTGAAGTTAACTGATGTTTGGGGCTTAGAGGTACAGCAAGGCACTTAGTCATATGAAATAGGTAAATACTGAAATGTGTTTTTGTGTAGGTAAGACTTTAGTATCTGAAACATCAGCTTTTGTGAACCCTGGCCTCCTAGATTGAAATGGCAGTGGATTGAAATGGTAGTTTCCAAAAATAAATCCTAGAGTGGCATGTGGTTATTACTTTATCACTCTGAACAGCCATATGCTTACACCTGTGATCCCAGCTGAAGGATGAGCAGATCCAAGGAGTCACACAAATGAAGACTACCTATTAAGCATCCTGTTCATTTGCTCATCTGGTATTTATTAAGCATCTACCATGTTCCAGGGTTCATGCTCCATGCTGGGGACATAATGATAAACAAATTGGAAATTGTCCATGGCCTCATGGAATTTGTAACCTAGCAAGGGAGATAAATCATATCAAACTTCTGACAGTTTAAAAGTACCTTACTAACAAAGCCTGACCTTCCAAGCCGAGAAGGTTCTCAATTTCCCCTGATATCCCTTTCCCTTCCAAGGAGCTCCTGGCATCGCTCATACTCTCTATGGTAAAAGACCTTTACTGGTAACAGGCTTGGGACTCCTTTATGGCAGAGTGGCTTGCTCTAGAAATCCAGACCACCTAGATTCATGTGTGGAACCCAGTGTTGTTAATGAAACCTCAGTATACTCTTTCTCCCTGTATTGTCCCTTTTTAATCCTGACACCCAGTCTGAAATCCTATTTAAAAGGGAAGAAAGCAGCATCTGGAAACATCACTAGTACAATCATTAAGATTTCCATGTCTTGAAATAAACTTGAAAAAAAGGAACCACAAAGTGAGTCCTGTGCTGGAGCATGGCGGCTGTTTAGTTCCTGGGCTTCCCCTGTGTGTGCCCGGGATCTGCCCTTACAAGACAGGCCGTTATTTGTGGTATGTGCTGTGGAGTCTGAACCAGACGTGTCTTTGTGGTTTCCATGGCAAAGCTATCTTGGTGTGTGCATGTGTTTGTGTGAGTGTGTTTCTTAAGTAGATGTTTTAGCATGTATGAATCGAGTCTTAAAGGAGCTACAGACCACAAGCCTGTGATTTCAGTATAGAAATATCATAAGTGAAGCCTGTTTATCTTAACAGATTGGTTCAGACTTTCAAGAGACATTTGCTTTATGTTAACACCAGTCTAAAGAAAACATCTGAAGAAACGTTACAAAATCTGCTTTCTACTGTAGTGAAGATGGATCCATTTTAAATGCAGTCAAAGAGAAAGCCAGCAGCCCATGCTAGCAAGAAATAATTTAAAGACTCTCTTCTTCAAGTGAGCTGAGTATCCGCACTGGGCTGTGTCAGAGGCCAGCTGATGGGTAAACAGCCAAATTGCTGTCCTGTAGTACAGGCGGGAGGTTGCTGGAGAAGTTTGGAGAGAAAGGATAAAAAGGGAGAAAGGTCAATTTCAGCATTCCATACATGCCCTGTTTCCTTCTCTTGTGAAAATCCTGTACACAGTACATAAAAGGCTATAATTCACTTGGAGATCTCTGCCCATGACATAAACACTCTCAAGGTTTATGAACAGCCCTGGAGCCCATTGAGTGAAATCAGCTGTTTATTCCCTCCTGTAGAGCATAGTTCTGGACATGTGAATGCAGAAAGGATACTACCTGGCACTGACCAGGGCTTCTGCCACAGTGCTTGCCCTTGCTCATGGCTATCCAGCAAATCCTTTCTTCACAAGTCAGATATCCTTTGCTGGAAGAGCACAAGCTCTAAGGTCATGCGTGTCCCTGTTCCTACTGCAGAGTATAATCCTGTGAGCACCCTTGGGTAAGGTGCTTAACCTCTCAGAACTTCATCACACGATTATAGAGCTAGGAATTTAGCTCAGTAGTAGAGCATTTGCCCAACCTGTGTGAGGCCCTGGGTTCTATCCCCAGCACTGGGAAAACAAAAAACAACAACAACAACAACAAAAAAGGAGAATTATACTTCCTCCTGTTGGCTGGTCCTGCTGTGACTAGTCAAAAGAGTTAAGCTATGGAAGGCCCTGTGGTTTAGCTTCTGCTCAATCCCTCAGTGCCTCTGCTCATCTTTCCTCCCACCCTGTTTCTGTCTCCTCAGGCCTATTCATCCTCTAGCCTTCTTCCTTGTGGGTTTTCTCGTGTACTCTCAACTCCCAGACAGCTCTTTCCCTCTTCTTCCCACTCTCATTGGACTACATCTTTGCATTACTTTTTGTTTTTGTTTTGTTTTTCACATCTTTTTATGTGTTTCTATGTATATGTGTGTGTGTATTATACTATATACATATATATAGTATAATTCACTTGTAATTTATAACACAGTAGACAGATTTTATAGTTTCCAACTTACAATGATTCAACTTAAAATTTTTCAACTTTACCATGATATAAGAACAAGAACATAGAAACCATACATCTAATTTTTAATTTTATATTTTTTCCTGGGTTAGCAACATTTAGTACAACTCTTTCTTCCCCTCAATAAATCAGCCCACCCACTCACCCACCTCCCAGCCACCACTCCCTCCCCTACCCCTTCCTGGACAACAGCAAGGAATTGTAGCTCACAGTCAAAACAACTGGTACTCTTAAATGTGCGTGCTGCTAAGCTGTGATGTCCCAGAGGTCAGGTATATGAATGCATTTTTTACTTGTAGTATTTTCAATTTACCATGTCCTTATCAGGAAGTTATCCCCTCATAAGATGAGGAGCATTTGCTGCTTATGTGGATAAGATACACACATATTTAAAATGCTAATGTCTTCTTAACAAAGTGATCATTATGAAATGACTATTTCTGGTAATATTCCATGACTTGAAGACTGCTTTATTTGATGTTACAATGGTTCCACCATCTTTCTTCTGAATATTTTTACATGTTTTTTTAATTTCATCTCTGTGTCATAAATATGTCAGGAAAACTTTTTTGTAGAACTTGATCTTTTTAATCTAGTCTGATAATCAGGAAAACTTTTTGTAGAACTTGATCTTTTTAATCTAGTCTGATAATCTCTGCTTTTAATGGGAATATTTGTCTCATTTACACTTAATATAATATAAATGAGCTCATTAGGTTTAAGTCCTACCATCTTGCTATTTGTTTTTTAATTTCCTGTTCTTTCTTCCTTTGCTCCTCTCTTCCTGTGTCCTTTTGCTTTACTCAAGTACTTTTTAGTGTAGAATTCTTTCTCTTCTATTGACTTTTTAGCTATTTTCATTATTTTATACATGGACAATACATCTTTAAATTGTCACAACCTAAAATGAATTAATATTACAAGGTTTTACATATAATGTAAAAGCCGAAAATAGCATGATTCTCTTTATATCTTAAATTAGACTTTATGCTATTGTATTTGTATATTTTACTTTTACTTTTACATATCTTATGACTTTTAAAGATTTTTTTAAAGAAAAAATTGCATTCCATCTTTATTCTGTAGTTTCCATATAATAGATAATAGGGAATCATTTCCTCTAGAGAAAATTTATTTTTCACATCTTCCTGGCTTCTAATGAAGATGACTTCTGACCTTTCTTCACATTCACACCCAGGCAACAGATACAGTTTCCGAGTCTATCATTTGTCTGAGGCCCCTTCCTCAGAGACCTGGTATCTGAGTAACATGCCTGTGGAGAAGAAGTGTCCGTAGCAGTTGAGAGCACTGACCCTGAAGTTAAGACAGCTGGGTTTAAACCCATCTCTGCCTCCCACTAGCTATGTGACATTGGGTAAATACATAATCCTCCTGAGTCTTTGTCTCCTAGTCTAGAAAATGGTGAAGGCTAGCTCAGTGGATTACTATGAATATCATATATGGCATATAAATTTCTGTGTTGCTAACAACCACCATAAACTTACCATCCTAAAACACCACCAGTTTTTAATCTAGTTTTTCTGGATTAGAAGTCCTACACAGCATTCCTTGGTTCTCTGTTCAGGGTCCCAGATAACTAAAATCCAGTTTTGGGCTAGGGCCATGATCTCCTTGAAGCTTAGACTTGTCTTCCAGGCTCATTCAGGAGGCTTGGCAGAGTTCAGTTTCTTGTGGTTGTAGGACTAAGGTTCCTGTATCCTTGCTGGATGTCACTGGAGACCATTCTGAGTAACTAGAGGCTGCCCTCATTCCTTTCCATGTGGTCCCCTCCATCTTTCAGTCAGTAGTAGTACATTGAATCTTTCTCATGTTTCCAGTTTCTGACCTCTGTATCTCTGACCCCTGTACCCAGATTTT